TTGTAAACAACGTAAAAGTGTATAAAACTTGTAATTAAAGGACTTTACAGAACGAAAATGGTAAGTTGTTGTTTTGAACTTATTTAAATAGATAAGTATGTGAATAAGAGAAAACGTGTATAGTTGTTTGTCAATACTTTTTTATTCTTGTATTTGTTAACTTAATTCATTTTAATTAGAGAGTATAATGTATATGTTATCTTTAGACTGTCTAGATCTGCTTATTTTATTTTTCAATGGTAAAAAGTAATTAGCGAACATTTTCGAAAAAAAAATTACAATATTTCCTAAGCGGTTGTTTGACAATGGAGCATTTTCAGTAAATATATTTACCATGTGTAGTATACTGTTTTAAATGCCCTCTTGGTCATCTAACCTTGTCAGTGTGTGTCAGACTGAAGTAACATCTACAACGAAAGAACTCATACAATTTTTGTTTACTCCTTTCAAACTTGCAAAACAGTTTCTTTAAATTAATTATTTCAACATACTGCAATAAAATGTAAAGTTGGTCAAAGTCATTCTGTACATGGAAACATGATACGGCGTTCAGTGAATTGACGTCATAATGAGACATAATGGGAAACATGTTAGAATGTAGTTAACAAAATGGCATGTTACAGAATACAGTTTCTTCAAATATTCATTCTTCAATATGTATTTTATATTTCTAGTTTAAACATTGTTTCCAGAAAATAGATTTAGAAAATAGATTTTGAATTAAATTTTGATGACAATAATATAGAAACGATCGTTTGGACTATATAACTGTTGAATGACAATGTCCTTGTTTAATATTTAACTGATTTGTATAAATGTATACATAGAAATTTGAAGTATTGAATGTACATACAACACATTCACTTGATATAATGAAAGAAGTGAACAAATATACGTAATGTATTCAGTTAATTATATACATACAAAAGTATGAAATATTGTATGTAATACACTAGGCCATACAAAAGATTTTGTTTCGTACACATAAAATATTTACATAGTAAGCTGTAAATACATCCATTGCATTTTTTATTTACGCTATTTGTTATACAATTTCAGGCTGATCAGTTGTCAGAGGAGCATATTGCAGGTACACTTTTTGTCACTAGCGGGAGATATAAGTAAAATTTAATTGCAGCAGCCGAATTTTTTAGAACTTTGAAAAAAGTCGCATGCTTTATAGCGGAATGACACGATTAACTTTAAGAGTCGTCAAAAAAGTAAATAAAATCATTCACATTCATCAGCTTACACTTCAGGACCAATTTAAGATTTGCTACTTTGTTGCAAAACATTTTTTAATTTATATTTTCCTCAAATGGAAAGAAATGTTTTCTTATCTCAGTATATAAATAATGGACTGTGCAACTGTCTGTAGTTTGCTAAAATTAAATCATGCGTAAACCCTTTTTTTATCTAGCAAAGGTACGCATTGGTGTTGCATACATCTGAATTTTTCAATCTACATGTATCTGCTTGTTTACTTTTAGAAACTAGGAAATAATTACGTTTGTTTTGAAGAAATTTAAATGCATACATTTTCAAGTTTTGCATTGTCTCGTTTGAAATGATTTGGATAGTGTTGTTTTATATCATAAAATGATGTCAAATGTGTGCGTTTTTATATTTTTATTTTGGTTAGAATGTTTATGCTCAAATTTGATTTTTTATTGTTGGTCATTTGCTTATTTAAAGTTTAGAATAATGATATTGTTTAATTGGGATAAAATTGATAATGTCCAAGGATAAAGCATTACGAGCGTGTCAGTCCTGTCTATATATATAAATAAGAAACATGGTGTCAGATTCCTGGCACAATACGACATTGACTAGTGTACCCGCCATGTCACGGCATAAAACTAGTACAACTAGTAGGGCATAATGGAATTTTCGTGTCGTTACAACTGCCCAGATCTAAACAGACATTCGTCTACGTGGCAATTTTTTGGTTATTCTAAAAGTGTGCAGTGCAAAGCTGGCCATTCCTTCTGAGTATCCTTTGTTAAGAACTATCGACTCTTATGAAAAAAAAAATGATTAAAATTGGTCATGATTTATTTTTTGACAGAATTCAAGGAGGCGTTCAGTCTTTTTGACAAGGATAGTGATGGCACAATTACGACTAAAGAGTTGGGAACAGTAATGAGGTCCTTGGGGCAGAATCCCACAGAAGCAGAATTACAAGACATGATCAATGAGGTGGATGCCGATGGTAAGTTTGTTGTTGATAATAATGCTAAGACTGGATTTTCTTTTATATGTACATGTACCTGCTTTCCCAAATCAATACTCTAATTGTATATTGGTCTATCTTGTTCTGTTGGGTATATTTGAACTTAAATGATCGTTGTAACGCATTCATTGTTATTTTGAATGCAGGAAATGGAACAATCGATTTCCCAGAATTCCTGACAATGATGGCGCGGAAGATGAAAGAGGCAGATAGCCATGAAGAAATCCGAGAAGCATTCAAAGTGTTTGACAAAGATGGGAATGGTTTAATTAGTGCTGCCGAGTTGAGGCATGTGATGACAAATCTAGGAGAAAAACTTACAGATGAAGAAGTAGATGAAATGATCAGAGAGGCAGACGTTGATGGCGATGGCCAAGTCAACTATGAAGGTAAAACTTTTGGAAAACTTTTAAAAATGTAATATAAGTTGAAATATGTGTTACAAACTTCAAACAAGGAAATGACATTATTAATTATGTGTTAAATATCAGCAAGCACTTTTTAATTTCATTTATTATTCTTTTACAGAGTTTGTGCAGATGATGACGGCGAAATAGACAAGACTGCAATTTAAAAGCTTTATCAAAAGGGAATAAATTTGAACTCATACCAACGTCATTTCTTTCGACATCTTTTTATACAAAACTACTGGAGAATAATTATTTTCATTTTCGAAATGAATCATAAACCTGTGTTATCTGAGCTATATTATAACCAATCTTTTTAACTGTTCATGATTTCTGTTACCATAGCAATAATGATTCTGACCTAAGAAAAACAAATAGCCATGTCTACTCTTATGATCTATTCACATATATGAGCCGCGCCATGACAAAACCAACATAATGCGTTTGCGACCAGCATGGATCCAGACCAGCATGCGCATCCGCGCAGTCTGATCAGGATCCATGCTGTTCGATTACAAACCCTATTAGAAGTAGAGAAACTGATAGCGAACAGCATGGATCCTGATAAGACTGCGCGGATGCGCAGGCTGGTCTGGATCCATGGTAGTCGCAAACGCATTATGTTGGTTTTGTCGTGACGCGGCTCATATATATGGTAATAAAACTTTCTTAAACAATTTTAAGCTGTCAAAGGAGCAACCTTTTATAGCTATAATAACTTAAAATTCCAAACCAAGCAAAATCAAAATTAAGCTGTTCATCGTTTCCATTTTGACATCTATATAAAAACTATTATGATGATAGGATTGATAACAAAACTTTAATACAGTTGTAAAAGCTGGACATATGTCGTTAAAGAAAAATAGTTACCCGTCAGCTATATATACATGTAGTTATACAAATATTCTAATGTCACAATTCTAATTTGTGAGTGAACATATTATGCTAAGTCATACTAATATATCCCAGAAGAGTAAATAGGGGAGGAAATAATTTGAAGTTAAACACTAGTTTATCAATCGCAACTTTGAGGTCCTCTCCGTCAATATTGCAAATGTTGACCATACATATATCCTCATAGACCAGTACAGCGGGATAGAGCCTCATTGGTTTGACATGGGTCGTTATGACAGAACTGTATCAGCACGCAAGGATGATAATTACAATCTTATTGGTAACACAGAAAGTATGGTTTATAAGAGTACTTAGTGCAAACAATCTGTTATATAACAATCTGTTTGAAGGGAGATAAATCTCCTGTGCATATACAGGCCTATATGGAGTTGTCCCTGCCCATTGCCGCCGGTAGGTTCACAACATAAACACGACCACAGAGACAGCAAATTATTAAATGCGAGTAAAGTTAAGTCGGAATATGAAACAAATCTGTATTGAAAAAAAAGAACGAAATATCACGTCCAGCAACAAAAAAGTAGTGCCACCGCACTGTTTTAGTTCCCTTTTAAAGTGTGGGTCTATTCTCTATTATTTCATTCTCTTTCAGCACTACTTAATTCTGAAATTCTGATATATAAATTCCAAAACCATTAAAATTCTTCTGATAACTGAACTTTTTCAGCTACATAGATTATACATGTAAATCCTTTTACCTTACCTTTTAAACACTTCAGAGATATATAAGTTGTGCATTTTTACCGACATGTTTAATTTAGAACTGGCCGCGTTCTTACTGCAATCAGATTACAGAAACAAGCATCGAAATGCTAAGCTATAACTTCAAGTGGTCGTTATAAGCTTCCGTAACTTAATTGCGTAATTTTTGGAAATTCCAAAAATAATTATACAAAATCTATTAATTCCAAGTTTCGGTTTTGGAATTGAAAGATACAGACGTTAAAATGCACTTCGCTTTGTTAATGTTTTGGTTAAGCCTAATCAGGTATGGTATAATTTTCTTTTTATTGGTTAGTTGTTTATTATATACCAATTTAAACTTATAACGTGTCAGTACTAACCTATTTAGTATTTGAAATATTATATTTTACTGTCTACATGTGAATATGACGGAGTTTGGCGCAAAAGAAAATATATGAATGAATAAGTTTTTTAAAAAGTCAACGTAGTCAGCTCTACCGAAATTAGGGCAACCCGAAATTATATCGAACTGTACTGGATGTACACAGACATTTTAATATGTTTATAATATAGTCACGTTATCCTACAGCAGCATTAGAAAATTCTAGCAAGTGCCAAAATTAGATCTTAACTAATGCAACTATATATAATTACGTCATCATAAGGATTTCCAAAATGAATCAAGGAATAAGTTTCGTTTTTAAAATTGATTCATAGTCTATAAAGGATAAAAAAATGTTTATGGTGTTCTTGTTGGGGTTAATCGTAAGCAGGTAAAATCTATTCTTATAGTGTTTTAATTTATAAAGTTTAATAATGTATAGCTTATGGATATTATTTTCTGATTAGCCTGCACCCGCTGTATCTGCCACTCGCAAATAATAATAATGATGATAATAATAATGATGATGATGATGATGATGATGATGATGATGCTAGTATTAATAATAATAATAACAAGATAGAAATTTTACCCTTTAGCTAGCATTATATATGGCTGATAAAAAATCATTATCATAATGTACATGTACATGGCACTCCATAGACACAGGGCGACCATGAATTAATTCATTTGAGGACATTTATATAATATCTTTAAATAAAGAATTCACAATTCTAATTCTTTTATACAAACCATATCAAAACCGTGTTTAAATACTCATCGAAAGTGTCTTGCCACATTTTATAACAATGAAAAAACATAATTAACTGTAATTAGATAAGTAAACAGAAATACAAGTGATGGTATGAAACACTATAATTAAAAACATGTAGACTATGTTAGTAATTGAGTATGTAAGTGGCCGTTAATATAATGGAAGACTTAGTTACATCAGTGAAGTTTATTTAAACGATAGTGTGATTTAATTTAACACAGATAACTGTACTGTACTGTAACATTTATTTAATTATTTGTATTATAAAATATATATACTGCGTTGTGTTCTGGCAATGATCCAATTATAACTGCGTTGTGTGACCCACTTTTATATCACCATATAATTTTTATATTCAGTTATAATAGATAAATTAATCAGTGTTTGTGATAAAAGAAGTAAATTGATACATTCTTTAAAAATTCTACCACGTACGGAAGCGTGAAAGAAGCTCCACTTCAATGTGGTTCTTAACCACCTTGCAACAGTGTGTTATCAAATTTGACATTCAATTCTTTAAGTGCCATCGGAGTCACAGGTGAACGTCGCGTGGCCATGACTTACACTATACCCCGTTCCCCCTCTACAACCCAAAACCATTAAACATCATCGAAACATCATAAGTATTGACAAAAATAAATTTTATGAAAAAAAAAAAAATTATGACTAAAAAAATAAATGTTTTTATAGTGTAAGTCATGACCACGCGACGTTCACCTGTGATCGGAGTCTTTGAGTAATTTTAAAATACATAAAGATTTAAAACACAGAGATTGATATATTTTTAGTGTAACAGCCGCGGAGTACGGTACTTGCAAAACCTGTTTTGATGGCTACACGGGGGCACAATGTACACAGGGTAAGATTTTCTTTTATACCATTCAATTCAACAAGCTCGCTGAAATGTATGTCCATAGCATTTCTCATTCATAGATGTTTAGTCTATTGTCTGGGATCTACTAGAAGGCTATAATTAGTCGCCGGTGGAAACCGGCGACTATATTTGTAACAGTTTAATATTATACCTATGGTAGGAGAAGGCATTAATTTCGGTAAATAAAAGCATAACAATTACTGAACAATTAAAGACTACAATTGTTATCAGAAATCTCAAAAATTCAAACATACAATAATGTTGCTAAATGAAATGAAATATTCAAATACTGACATCGTAAAAAGCAACATTACAATATTTATAAAATGAATTAATGACGTATCCCTATGGACCAGTCATTGAATTTAGGGATGCTTTTACTTTTTTTAAAGTGTCAAGCGTTGCTATTTTATGATAAATAAATTATGCATGATATTTGGAATGACACTTTTAAATTATCTGGTTGTTTGTATCTTATGAGACCTATTCTATTTTTTATCTTATTTATTATAAACAGTTTCTCCCAGAATCACGTGACTACACGTATGAAATCTATTAATAGTAACAAATGGCTGGCAAGATAGAAATACAGGTAACATGTGAATGATAAAGCTGATAAAGTGCAAATCAAAGTAATTTTGTATGAAAAATCTCGGTATGACAGTAGGGGTCGGAATCGTATTGGATACACAGAGAAAACTAATAAACCTACTTTGTGTTGATAGTTTATCGCACTGAAAGGCAATTAAACATTAACTTTATCGTATGTATAGTCTGATTTTATTAACCTGTCAATTATGAATACATTATAGGACTCATTTAAATAATCGATCCCACTTCGGTTTGGTCAGTGTAGTTTACGAGAATTAATGTGGAGTATATTAGTCATGGATTGAAAGTCACGCCAACTTTATGCACGGATTTATATTTTATTTATGTAATATAAATCCGTGCTTTATGTGAAGGTTTTCGTTAATTCACAATAGGACAGTCGTGATAATTGAGAGGTCTGTGGTTCGATCCTCACTGTTGCCATTGTTTTAGTACTCTTTCTTTATTTTTGCAGTGTATTTTAATGGAACAGATTTGTAGTGTGTTTTACGGCATTGAAAAGACATTTATTGATTTTAATCCGTTTTAATTTTAAATATGAATTCTTAAAAAACATGTTAATTAAAAAGAGTATATACATAACAAAATTAAGTAAAACATAAAAATACGAACAACATATATTAATCATATAATTATAGATTCGATAATGTTGAAAGTATTAATAAGAAAAAAAACATGGACCAACGCGGCCTCGAACTTAAAACACGTTTGGCACTTAGATTATAAACTCGTGATTTACCTCATTGCGCTATAACGCTGAGTACTCTTATTTTAGAGATACAAATTAAATTTAATTCCATCGTACAGCGTAAATCTCACGGAACTTACCGAACACCTACCGAAGATTAATATACTGTGTGCATCGACCGTGTAATCAGTATGTAATTGACAGGCAATAACGACAGGAATATTGATTTCAGCTAAATAATATTTTTTTTCGATAGTGCATAAGAATAATTTGTTTAAGCAGACACCACTTTTACAGTAGAATTGCATTGTTTTATGCAATAATTAAATATATTTTCATAGCCACTTTGCAAATATTCGATGATCGGTAATAATTTGTCGGTAATTATCGGATGCTGAAGAAAACCATACGTACAACGGTATATGTATAAAGTAGAATTCAAGTAGCATTATAATCATATCAATTACTTTACAAGCCTTGATGACAAGGTGTTAGATTTTAAGTTAGTTTCAAATTGTAGACTGTAGGTTCGAGAAAGTGATTTTTATGTTTTCTTTTATAATACTTTTTGTATTTTGCAAAACTTGACCGTTTATCAAAATTATGAAATAAAAAGTGCTAGAAATGAAACACACGATTTATCAACTTATGTTTCATAAAGTTAAAAGATATAATAAAAATCAATTTATGAAAACTACACACAGGATTTGTCCGAGATTCGAACTTGCGCCTACTTCATGTAGGTTACAACTTCGTCATACTTACCACTAGGCCATCGAGCAGTATTAATTGATATAATTATATATGTAATTATACTTATAATAAAATCGTTAACATTAATCATAATAAGTTATGTAAACAAACGAAACAGCTCCCGAAAATTATTGAGTCTCGGGTAAATATTGCCAAACAATACTTGCTTATTTAATTATGATAACAGTTTCTTGACAAAATTGCTAAGCAAGTTTGATTCAAATATGATGTTTTATTATAACATAAGATAATTTTTTTGCATAAAACTCTCATCAAGAAAAATATAATTGTGGCAAGTAAATGAAAACGTGTTTATGAATAAACATTACTCAACTTATTGTTCCTCTTTTCTTTTACTCGAACCATTAAACTGATATTTTCTTTTATTTATGATAATACAATCATATTTCTATCCGGCGACTTGATGCTTTAGCATCAAAATCTCTACTTGTGATAAATTGTACTGTTGTACCTGTAAAGATATGTGAATATTTTAGTAGAAGGTGTACACACGTCCTTTCATGTCTGTAAGTATTCTTTTAAGGATTAGAATTTTTTCAGGCTCATGATGAAAATTTATTTTTCCCCAAAAATTTCAATTCCATGGCTCATTTTTTTTCGTTTGTTCAGAGTCTATGGCGATCTTCTTCTTTGCTGTTGAAACAAAGTGTGTAACTTGTATGCAATGTTTAAGAATAAAGAATTTATCAATCATTTCTCATTGAAACCTATTTTTAATATTCTAATATCATATATGACATGAACTCATATAAAATCGCATCATTCCTTCAGCTCTTTGCTATGGAGAAACCACATGTTTCAATGGCGGGACTTGTTCTTCACCAAATAATTGCACATGTCCCGAAAATTATATCGGATCGAAATGTGAACAAGGTAAGGAATGACAAGTTATTAAGCTCGTAACATACATAGTTTAGAATGAGAGTTTAGAACTTCCATGCTGCAGCGTTTGCATCATGTGAGTTTCCAAAATAAATCATATCAATGAAACAGTGTTTTCCTTTTCCAGGCTCAAAGTGCATATCAGATAACCAGTGTACTCCATTTAGCCTCATTTTCATTTTTCGAGGTACCAAAAAATTATATCAAATCCATATTGTACTCCTTCTAGTCTCGATTTCATTGTCCAGGTCCAAGAATCCATATCTTTTCTATAAAGAACTAGAACAAAAACTGTTATTTTGTGTTTTCTTTTTTATGTTCGCTCTCCTTTAAAGTGGTGGTATGAAATATAGAGGTTATGATAAATTGTTAAGTATAACGCTGGTTCTATTGGAATCGAACACAGCTACACAACCTTTATTGGACTCAGCTAGAATCTCATCCCATATTTATTTAACAGCTGCATACTGGTATAATAGAATTAAGTAATGTGCTAGTATAATAACCTCATATAGTTTATCCTTTTCACCCCGACAATTAATAAATGTTATATAGCTGTTCGGTGAACATCTTAGTCCATTGATAGATCCATACTGTGACCTTTAATTTGAATAACAATACATTTTAACAACAAACATTGACATGTGCTCTTATGATAACAAACATGTTTATTGTATCTACTAATCTGATAATAAGAATGAGACAGAACTGGGATCTATGCATTGACCTGGCTTATTTGATATCGTATGTTTATGTATATTCAACAACATCTTCATGTACTAACTGTTTTATTGTAGTCAAAAAAATTTCTTTTGGTTAATTTTCAAAGTTGTCCATTTCCTTTTTACACGATTAAGGCCTTAAAGGATATAAAGCTATATCGAATAAGAAAAAACATGTTATTTTCGTAATCTTAAGGTCGAATCCCGAAAATAAAAAGATTAAGCATAGAATTTCTGTACAACTATGCAATATGTCACTGTTTACTAAACAAACATGCATAGTGTATGTAAAAAGAATAAATTGTTCCGGAACAAATTGACATGTTGCTATTTTAAGTAGGCTTTTACTGTTTCAGCGTGGTTTTATGCATTCGCCTTTTGCACATGTATATAAACATGTTTTTTTTCATACAAGTACTTTGGCATTTTTCACTTCAAAACCCGAATGAAAATATATGCAGCAAATATATAGCTTCACAATCTTTAATAAGACGTTTTTTCTGTTTTCGACACTTGTATCGCTTTATATAGCGTGCAAATGGTCATTAAAGTGGGGGAGCAAACGCAGGGTATCTTTAATTCTCAAAATCGTTTTCATTTGTCTGGCAAGTGCAGGTATTTGGGCTTTATGACCCAGTTTGTTAACATGAATATCACAAATATCATTATCTATTGATTCTAATATGACCGCGTCCCGACGAATCGTAAAAAGGAGAAATTGTTTAGTTAGTCATATAATAAATAACCTATGGTACTAAACATGGTAATTAAATTCTTTAAGAATCATATTGATTTATATAAATAAATTTTAATTTTGTCTGTATATGAGCCGCGCCATGGCAAAACCAACATACTGCGTTTGCGACAAACATGGATCCAGACCAGTCTGCGCATCCGCGCAGTGTGATCAGGATCCATGCTGTTCGCTATCAGTTTCTCTACTTGTAATAGGGTTTGTAAGCGAACAGCATGGATCCAGATCAGACTGCGCGGATGCGCAGGCTGGTCTGGATCCATGCTGGTCGCAAACCTATTATGTTTGTTTTGTCGTCACACGGCTCAATTATATTCAAACATTCTATTTCAGCCTTGTGTTATGGATCAGTGACATGTGAAAATGGTGGGACATGTACATCTCCAGACGAATGTTCTTGCACGGAAGGGTTTACTGGTCAAAGATGTGAAACAGGTATTTCATTGTCTATATTTATTATACATATACATGTAGATAATTTCAAAATACTTTCCTATGAAAGAACTACTCAAGGAAAATTAATGTTTCTTTACATTTCCTTAAAAAGGAAGTCAGAATTATATATTATCATAATATACTGTAATGGATATTTTTATTGGACAAGTTTAGTCGTTAATAATAATCTATAGACATTGACAAACTTAAAAAATACCCAACATATTATTTCTAAGAAACTTATTAAGTGATTTGTCTGAGGCATATTTCATTAATTTACAAAAACAAACAGAAATGAATGAAATACTAATGTTCAGTTTGATAGAATTTGATATTTAAAGTAGCTATGTGCATTTACTTTCAGAAGTCAGCGGGCATACAAGTAGCAGTGGAAGCTCCATCCCTAACTCACATATGGTCATTGTAATGCTCATTGTTAAGATATTCCACATGGCTCATAATTTTTTTGTTTAAAAACACATGGCTCCAACAAATATAGTATTTGGTTTTCTACACATGACTCTTACAGATATAGTATTTGGTTAATTACACATGACTCTTACATGTTTAGTATATTGTTAACTACGCATGACTCTTACAGAAATAGCATTTGAATAACTAAATATGTATCTTACAAATATAGTATTTGGTTATCTACACATGACTCTTATAGATATAGTATTTGGTTAACTACACATGACTCTTACAGATATAGTATTTGGTTAACTACACATGACTCTTACAGATATAGTATTTGGTTAACTACACATGACTCTTACAGATATAGTATTTGGTTAACTACACATGACTCTTACAGATTTAGTATTTGGTTATCTACACATGACTCTTACAGATATAGTATTTGGTTAACTACACATGACTCTTACATGTTTAGTATTTTGTTAACTACGCATGACTCTTACAGAAATAGCATTTGAATAACTAAATATGTATCTTACAAATATAGTATTTGGTTAACTACACATGACTCTTACAGACATAGTATTTGGTTAACTACACATGACTCTTACAGATATAGTATTTGGTTAACTACACATGACTCTTACAAATATAGTATTTGGTTTACTACACATGACTCTTACAGATATAGTATTTGGTTAACTACACATGACTCTTACATGTTTAGTATTTTGTTAACTACGCATGACTCTTACAGAAATAGCATTTGAATAACTAAATATGTATCTTACAAATATAGTATTTGGTTTTCTACACATGACTCTTACAGACATAGTATTTGGTTAACTACACATGACTCTTACAGACATAGTATTTGGTTAACTACACATGACTCTTACAGACATAGTATTTGGTTATCTACACATGACTCTTACAGACATAGTATTTGGTTAACTACACATGACTCTTACAGATATAGTATTTGGTTAACTACACATGACTCTTACAGATATAGTATTTGGTTAACTACACATGACTCTTATAGATATAGTATTTGGTTAACTACACATGACTCTTACATGTTTAGTATTTTTGTTAACTACGCCATGACTCTTAAAGAAATAGCATTGAATAACTAAAAAAAATATGTACTTACGAATATAGTATTTGGTTAACTACACATGACTCTTACAGATATAAGTATTTGGTTATCTACACATGACCCTTATAGGATATAGTATTTGGTTAACTAGACACATGACTCTTACAGATATGTATTTGGTTAACTACACATGACTCTTACAGATATAGGTATTTGGTAACTACCACATGACTCTTAACAGATAATAGTATGTGGTTAACTTTACAGCATGACTCTTACAGATTTAGTATTTTGTTATCTACAATGAACTCTTATAGATATAATATTTGGTTAACTACACATGACATCTTACATTTTAGTATTTTGTTCACTACACATGACTGTTTACAGAAATAGCAATTTGAATAACTAAATATGTTATCTTACGAAATAGTATTTTTGGTAACTTTAACTACACAGCTCTTACAGACATACAGTATATTGGTTATCTACACATGACTCTTATAAGATATAATATATTGGTTAACAATACACATGACTCTTACAGATATAGTATTTGGTTATCTACACATGACTCTTATAAGATATATTTAATTTTTGGGGTTAAACTAACAAACACATGACTTTACAGAATATAGTATTTGGTTAAACTACACATGACTCTTACAGATATAGTATTTGGTAACTACACATGATTACAGATATCAGTATTTGGTTTTCTACAACATAACTCTTACAGAATATAGTTTTGGTTAACTAACCATGACTCTTACACTGTTTGTATTTTGTTAACTACGGCATGACTCCTTACAGAAATAGGCCCATTTGATTAACTAAATTTTGTATCTTGCAAATATAGTATTTGGTTTAACTACACATGACTCTTAACAGATATAGTATTTCGTTAACTACACATGACTCTTACATGTTAAGTATTTTGGTTAACTACAACATGACTCTGCTTAAAGAAATAGTATTTGAATAACTAAATAAAGTCTCTTACAAATATAGTGTTTGATGAACTACACAAGACTCTTACAGACATAGTATTTGGTTAACTATACATGATTGTTACGCAATAGTATTTGGTTAACTATATACATACTCTTACAGGACATAAGTTTTGGTTAACTATACATGACTCTTACAGACATAGTATTTGGTTAACTACAAACACAACTTTTTTACAGATATAGTATGGTTACTACACATGACTCTTATGATAAGTATTTGGTAAACTACACCTCATGTCTCTTCACAGATATAGTATTTGGTTTAACTTCACATGACTCAACAAAATAGTATTTAGTCAACTACACATACTGCTTACAGATACAGTACATTTGGTTAACTAAACATGACCAGACAATAAAGTATTTGGTTTTAACTAGGAAACATGCACTCTTATAGATAAGTATTTGGTTAACTACACAGACTCTTACATTTATAGTATTTGGTTAACTACATACACATGACTTACATTATAGTATTTGGTTAACTAACATGCTCTGACAAATATGATTTTGGTTAATTACACATGAACTCTTTTAACATATATAGTTTTGGAAGTCTACAACATGATCTTACAGATATATTTATTTAGTTAACGAGTCACAGCTGACAAATATAGTATTGGTTAACTAAACATACTCTTACATATATATAATAGATGGTTTCGCTCATACGCAGCATTTAATAACCAAACCAATTTTATCATATACATTTCTGTCACATTTCATTTCATTTCATATAAATTGTGTATCTTTAAACATTGTATCTTTATGTGATGTGCTTTTTATATGTTTTTTATAACAAAAAGGTTTTATAGTTGATGTTAAATAATGCAATAATTGTATACTTATAAACACTTACATAGATTAAAATTAATAGTTGCTAAGATTATTAGTCCCCTACCGGTTTACCGGAGGGGACTTTAGGTTCACCCCGGATCCGTCTGTCCGCGCACTCACAGGAGAAGTAATTATGTGAAGGGACAATAGGTTCTCTTTGATGTTATCTTCGTAATGTCTTTATGTGGCTATTTTCTTCTTTGCGTGCTAAGAAGAACAATAGAAGAATCATAAGTAGCCCATAACTGTCCGTGAGAACGCTCGTCCGTCAGTCCGTCCGTCCACAAAACTGGGATGGCCGCGATAACGCAAAAAAGTACTGAAAGATTTAATGAACTTGAATATGAATAGATGGCAGTATGGCGATATCACATCGTTTTTCTTTTTCTTCTATGTTGAAATTTGGTTGCCTTGGAACAAATAGACTGAAATATGGCAAATTTTACACATAAGCTGGATCCAGCGCGATAACGGCCCCCCAAAAGAAAGGTCCGGTGAAAATATTTTAGAAATTGTGATATATTGGATAGATGGATATGGCGAATTAATGCACGTCTTTTCTTCTTCCTATGTTGAACAATCTGTTGCTATGGCACAAATTACTGAAAAATCTGGCAAATTGAACATAACTGGACGTGATAACACAAAAAGTACTGAAAATAGTTATGAACTGACATTGGTAGATGGCAGTATGGAAAATTAATGCACATCCTTTCTTATCTTCCTATGTTGAAACATTCTTGTCGTATGGCAAAAAATAGCTGAATTTCAGATGTTTCGGATCAGTTTTTTTTAAGTTTCACTAATAAGTTCTTTGATTCTTAAGGTATTTTTTCAAACTTTAAATATAAGTTGCCTCTGTCATCAACCATCATATGTGACAAGGTTTTACAACTCTAGCACAAAATTTATTAGAATTACCTATCAGTCCCCTTTGACTTAACAATTTCAATCAAAAATACATTGTTTTTTAATAACTCCGTTTTCTGAAGGTATCTAATTCAAATACTTCATATAATTTCTTATTATCACTCACATTTGTGAGGTGTTCAATAGCATCTAACAAGAACTATTTCCAGAATGTGAGCCCCTCTTTGGAATTAGACTTTGTTGAGAAATTGGTATTTACTCAAACTTCTTCAATCAGGATAGGATTTAAAAATGTTATATATTGATAACAGGATGTTTAAAAAGAAACTTAGAGTGTCCTCAGTCCGTCGTCCTGTACATAAAACTGTTTCTGTGATCACTTTAAAAGAACTTTTTTCAACAATTTACTAAAATAGGAAACATCAAGTGAAATGGCCAATGGCCCTATCGAAGTTGCTGTTTGGCTCTTACCGGTAGGGGACTTATGATCTTAAGTACTAGTGAGAATTGCTGTTGATATAGTTTTGGGAATTATGGTTTTCTTTTACATAGTGAATCTTGTGCATTTTCTGATTAAATGTCATAAACCCCACTCATTCTTTACTCAAATAATATCAAAAATACTTTTATAATTTAATTATTTTTTAATATTTATAAAGGTTTATGACTTAATAATATTGAAATCCTTCAAATCCATTTCAGGCCTGGTAGATCCTGTAACACATTATTTTATGGAGGTTTATATACAAATATATGATGCTCAAATAGATTTATGATATTGTAGAAGTTTCAAAAACTCTAAGTAATTTTCCAGTAAGAAATAATACATATATCCCTCTAATGATAACCGTAATATGTATGCAAATTTTAGCAATCATATTTATACATATTTGCATGTTGAAATTGGACAAATTGCATAATAATACATATAGTAATCTCAAGAAGAGATATGCAATCTCAATTACAAAAATACAGATGCTTTTACAGCATATGACTTGGGTTATTAAAGTCTACGCCATAACTTCCTGTACTAGTTTTTTGTATAAAATCTGTATAAACATTGTTGTTAAAGTAAAGTAAAAGACATAAAATGCATATAGCACCTTGGTGTTATTAATCACATCTTTAAATGTTTATTAAGATGGTAATTGTTTCTCATGGGTATTAAGTATCTAACTTACTGTTGTGAACATGATTAAAATTGCGTAATTTTAGCCTATATGTAGTGAACATTTCACTCGTGAGATGAGGATGGTATAAAACTTATCTTGGTTATCATCCTGTATCTGGATAGGCTCATTATCACGAAGACATTGCAATGCTGAACTAAATAGCTGTCTGTGTGGACTTAAATAAGTGTTTAAATCATATTTTTTGCTGTTATTATAATATGAAAAATTTATATTGAAACACTTTTATTAAATCATGAAAACACCATTCAGATACAAAGGGACTAAATCTTTCACCATTTGGATTATATTTCTATTATGTACTAAAGACAAAGTATACCATGTCACAATGATCAACACAGACTACATAGATATATTAACACGGCTAAATAATGCGAAAAGTGCCCTGATCCATGAGATTAATGTCCAGACAGCTATTCATAATATGAGCTAGTGAGTTTCAAATAAGGTTATAAATCTGATGTTGAAATACAATATTGGTACTCATGAATATATAAAAGTGTACTTTCTTTTTGATCTACTGGTAATGATGTTGCAACATTCTGTACACAAGCTTTTTGTCTTTGTCATATTATGCTTCACAATTGCCTGTAAATTAATACAACATTAGTAATGATAAAATATAACACTGAGCCCGGCGTCAGACAAACCACGTAATGCCATTGCAACCTAGAAAGATCCAACCCGCGCGCTCCACTGATTCTGATAGGATCGCATGTGTCCTTTATATTACAAGTAGAGAAACTGATAGCGAACAGCATGGACCTGATCAGACTGCGTGGAGCGCAGGCTGGGGCGGATCCCTGCTGTTTGCAAACGCAAAATTTTGGGGTTTTTTTTGGGACGGGAAGTCAAGTGTTTTGTTTTAAAAAAAAATAAAAAAACATCAATTTGAAATTAATATTGTATGAACAAAATTTTAAAAATTTTAATTTTTTAAGTGGGCCCTTTTAAGTTTTAAATAAAAAAAAAGAAAAAAATTGTAAAAGGGCTTTGTTAGAAGGGTTTTAAAAAAGGGTCGTTTATTTCCACAAAATGCACCCGCAATGCAGCCAAAATTTCAATGTTATATTAT